GGTGAGCCAGGTGCCTGCAGGTGGGGCCCACCTGGGGGGGTGCCACTGCCGCGGAGGGATGCACCAGGTCCCCCCCCCACCCCCTGCAGCCCAGGGACCACTCCACCGGCCAGCAGTTTGCCTTCCCTTCCCACCGCCACAGAGGCAGGGAAGTGTGTGTGTGCACGACACAGGGGTTTAAAGGGCCCTAAATTGGAGCGGTGTTTTTAAAAATGCACTGCTTCAATTTAGGGCCCCCATTTTGTCTACACACGCCTGAAGGCACTGGGCTGTAGCTATGGGCATGTAGTTTCATTTATCAGTTCTGCCGTAGATTTTCCGTGTGACCTTGGGCAAGTCACTTAGTCTGAGCTCTAGTTCCTCATGGGGACAGTGTCTGTCACATTTTCTTAGACTTCTGACTCTTCACTGCAGAGATTTTCTCTCATTAGGTGTTAGTGTTGTGTTCAGCACAATCTGGCTCTTGCTGAGCCACTACAGGGGATCATGAGAGTCCCTCAGCATGATACATTGTAGAAGACAGTAGTACCAATGAGGAACCTGAGCAATCTACCCATACAAGAGAAGGGGAGCTTGAGTTCCCATTTCAGAACAGTATTTCAGAATTTTTTTTAGATGATTTGTTTTGATCTTCAGCCAGAAACTGAAAACTTTCTCATCCGGAGGTGTTCTGATTTTCAACAAAAAGTCTAGGTTTTCCATGAAAAGCAGACCCCTTTTGCAACAAAAATAATTTTATTGGAAAACAATTTTTGATGAAAAACCAGTTTGACAGAATATTTTCAAACAGTCCTAGTAACCCTAGTAATGGATCTTTGTCTCCTACTGGTACCTAACCTGAGTGAAAGGTTTATGAGCCTGGTATGGTTTCTAGCAAAAGTATTTAGCTGTTTGTCTCACACAGGACTAAATCTGACTATTACTACTGCAGGACAGAGATTCAAATCCCACTGACTACCCTGAGAGCAGTGCTAATTTCATTAGTATCTATAATATGCAGTGGGATCCATAGATGGCCAACATTGTATATGGAATGTAATTATTATTAAGAAATAATAAATATAGATAACTCAGTACAAGTTTCCCTTCTGCTCCTTCTGCTCAAGGTCACATGCCTCCTACAGTGGCATAGCCCAGAAACTTTGTACTGCAGAACCAGTAAACAATAATAAAATATTAATACTTAGCCTAAGAAAGGATATGCATTATCCAGCACTCAGCTCTGACTGCCTGGGCTAGAAATTCACTCTGGGATTAATCATAAAGTATCCTACTTGAGTTGACAAACTGAAGGACTTATTTAATGCTCAGGCATTTTGCTGGACTTCCACACCCTGCTGAGTTTTGCCTAGGCAGACAGAGCCAGTGGACACAGAAGTTGAGTGGAAAGGAGAAAGAGAGCTGAGGAAGTTCTTTTCTTTGTAGACTGAAATCAATTAAGCAGCACTATGGTTAACCTTGAGAAGAATATTTTCAGTCACTGACAAACTGAATACAAATATTCCCTTCAGAACAAAAAGCTCTGTACAAAGGCTTAGTCCAGGGTATGTTTGAGACTTTTCTTTTTATTTCCTATTACTTGTCAAATTGGAGAGGCTGGCAACATATGTTTTATTTACATAAAAATTTAAAAAATAGATCATTAAATTTCAGGGGTGGAGGTAACTAAAAAAAGCAAAGTTTTTTAAACTGAGACTCAGCATTTGAACAAATAGGTTTGTGTGTCCAAAGTAATACATATTCCAGATGACCAAAGAGAGCTGTCACCCAAAATGATGTTCTGAACATGCACTTTGGACATCTCAGAAATCAGGGGCTGGATACTTACCTGGTCAGTGCAGCTCCTTGGAATTCAGTGCAGCCTCATTGCTTTATACCAGCTGAAAAGCTGGCCCCTCATGTTTGCAAAGAAGATACATGTGAGGCCAAAATGTGGCTTTAAAAGAACTGGGTCTAAGATGTACAGGGCTTCTGAACAGGCCTGGATTCAGGAATAGGCCCTATAGGCAGAGCTGTGCAAACCACTGATTTTTGCAGTTCACCAGCTGAACAGATAGACAAACAGACAGACAGACAGACGGACGCAGAAGCCAATTATGGATTTTTAAAAGGAGGGTGTGGGAGCAGTGCCCAGAGCTACAGGGGTTGCTACACCCTTCCACTCCCAGTCTCCTCCCCACTCCCCATCAGGGGGGTCAGACCACGCCACAGCAAGAGCAGCCAGGGACTTCCTAAATTCTAAAACTGGTGAGATTTCCCCACCCTTCCCACCCTGCTCAGAGACACATCCCCTCCCCTCCCAACAACCCTACCCCACCTGTCTCTGTCCCTGTGGGCCTGTCTCTGTCCCTGCCCACACTGTCCAAGGGATGAGAGCCGCTCAAGAGCCGCTCCAGCCAAGCTACACAGGAGCTAGGCTCAGCTCAAAGCAAAAGCAGTGGCAGTGGTAGCAGGCAGGCAGGTTCCCCCTCCCTGTGCCTGTACCAGACTGGCTGAGAACACCTGGGGGGACCAGGCAGGGAGGGGCAACCCTCCTGCCTGCCACCACCGCTTTCATTATCCCAGGTTAAGCCTGGCCCCTGGGGCAGCCCAGGCTGGAGAAGCTCTGGAGCTCCCCTCACCCAGGTACAGTGGGGACAGAAGCAGCCACAGGCAGGGGAGAGAAGGGGAGGCAAGGAGCTGAGTGGGGTGAGGATGTGCCTTTGAGCATGGAGTGGAAGGGAGGGGAGGGATTCTTATCTTCTTCAGGACTTAAAGAAGTCCCTGGCTGCTGCTACCTTCTGCATGGTCAGTAAGGGGGGTGCACTGCACTCCTCTGGGTCCACCCCTGGAGAAACAGATATACGAAAATTCCTGGGGAAAGTGAAAAAAAAATGTTTGGAGTTGTTTGAAGTATTTATTTCATCCTGAAATGAAATGCTTCCTTTTGTTTTCAGTTTTAAAAAATATATTTTAATAGCATTGAAGTAACTTCAGTGGAAAGTGCCAAAATTAAAGCTACAGCATTTGGGAATTTTTATCCCCAGGGTTTGGTATTTGGTTTTGACTTGACTAAAGCTATTTGCTGCTAGTGACCCTAATTCATGAAAAGTTTTTATCAAACCAAAACTGAATTTTTCAGTAAAAATAGGTTTTATCTGAAAATTTCCCCCAGCTCTAACTGCAGGGTCATGCCTACTGGCCTAGCTAGTAGAGCCACATGAGGAGACCAGAATCTGAGCTGCCGTGTTATATAATGTACCTTTTAACCCCTATTAAAGCAAAAGAAAATGACTGAAATATGGCCAAGCTTTTCTGATGCCAGCCTGAGGCTCCAGACAGCTTGAAATGCCAGTTGCAAGGGGTGTGAACTGCTTTGAGAAGTGTGAACTACCCTATTCATTCACCCTAATTCTGAAAGCTACTGCCCTCCAAAGAAGAAACAGGACACTGATATGAGGATAGGGCCATAGGCCGTGTGTGGATGGAATGGGGGCCCTAAATTGAAGTGGTGGGTTTTTAAAAACATCACTTCAATTTAGGGCCCTTTAAACCCCTGTGTCGTGCACACAAACACACACTTACCTGCCTCTCCGGTGGCGGGGAGGGCAGAGCGAGCTGCCAGCAGATAGAGTGGTCCCTGGGCTGGTGGGGGGGAGGGACACTGGTGTTTCCCTCTGCGGCAGCAGTGGGGCCCCCGACAGGTGGCACCCGCCCACAGGCACCAGCTCGGGTGGTCCTGAGGGGCACTGCAGCCACAGAGGGAAGCACCAGGCCCCCGTGCAGCTCAGGCAGGCAGGCAGGCTCCAAGGGGGGGAAAAATAAGGATCAGGCTCACAGCTTTTTTTTTTTTCTTGCATGGATGCTGCTGCTAGGGTGCCTGCACGGGCTTTCTGCAGAGCCCCTGAGCTGCACAGAGCCTGATGCTTTGCTCCACGGCTGTAGGGCAGCAATCTGCACCCCAAGTCATTTAAGGTGCATTACACCACCGAATTTGCTACAATGGCTGGAATTACAGGGCAATACGCCACCGCATGCAAACACCAACATCAATAAAGTGGTGCAAAAGCATTTAACACGCTTTAAAGTGTCGTGCACACATGCCCCTCATTTACACACTGCCATAAACACAAAGTCTGACTTTGGGCCTGCCTTGTCAGGGTGCAGCAAGAACCCCATTCTCCACCAGAGCAACTTTAAGCCACACTAATACATTGAATCACACAGCTCCATGAAACAGAGCTGGTGTTCTGTGTGAGAGCCAGTTCATTGGTTCACCAAGCTAAGGTGGGTTTGGAGCCACTTGGGATCCTGGGAGCAGCATGAATCCACCCCTGAGAAGGTACAGACATAACCTAGTAGCCCTTCATAAGTCCCTACCAGTGGCTGTTGTTTTGGTTCCCTTTGCAGGGCTTCTAAAACTAGTTTATATAACACTCTTTGTCCAGAGTTATTAGCAGCACTTTGTTAACCAGGCCTTTGTCAATCATAGGAAGAAAGGGCTAAAAGTAACTTCAAAAGGTCATCTAGTCCAGCCTCCTGCTCAAGGTAGGATCATCTCTGACTAAACCATCCCAGCCAAGTGTCTGTTTAATTCGATTTTGAATATTTCCAGGGATGGGGATTCTACAACCTCTCTGGGTAGTTTGTTCCACTGCTTGACCATCCTCATAGTTAAAACATTCCTCCTAATCACCAACATAAGTTTCCTTTCCTGCAGCTTGAGGCCATTGCCCCTAGTCCTGTCCCTTCTTACCACAAAGAAAAGCCCATCTTCATCCTCTCTATAATCACCCTTCAAGTATTTTCTATGATTCTATGGTTCTATTTGAAGACTGCTATCAGATTCATAGATCCATAGAAGCAGGGTCAGAGGGGACCTGAGCAGATCACCTAATCCGACCCCCTGCCCTGGGCAGGAATGAATACAGGGCTCATACAACCCCTACTAAGTTTAAGCTCCAATGACCCCAGCTAGGTAGTTATCAAGCCTCCTTTTAAAGACCCCTCAGGTAGATCCCTGCTTAGTCTTCTCTTCTCCAGATTAGTGATCCTAGTTCGTTCAGCCTTTTCTCGTAAATCTTGCCTCCCAAGCCTTTAATCATTTTTGTTGCTCTCTGCTGGACTCTTTCCAATCAGTCCACATCTTTCTTGAAATCTGGGGTCCAAAACTGGACACAGTATTCCAGATGAGGTGTCACAAATGCTGTACAGAGTGGAAAAAACAACTTCCCTTGATTTGCAAGTGACAACCCGGTATGCTGTTGGCTTTGTTTGCAAAACAGCACACCATTGGCTTATTTCGCTTTATGGTGTATTGTAACCCCCAGGTCCTATGCTGCAGTACTGCAGCCTAGCCAATCATTCCCTAGGCTCTATTTGTGTATGCACCTACTTTGTCCCACATGCAGGACTTTGCAATTCTTCTTAATTAATTTCATCTGATTGATTGTGGACCATTTCTCCACTCTGTTCAGATCACTCTGGATCCTAGGCCTACTCTCCTCAGTGTTTGTAACTCCACCCAATTGGGTGTCTTCTGCAAATTTGCTAAGTACGCAGTCAATCCTATCATCCAAATCATTAAAGAAGATATTAAACAATACTGGACTCAGGACAGACCCTTGGGGAATTCCACTGGATACCTCTTCCCAGCTACACAGAGTCATTGATGACAAGTTATTGAACATGATGATCCTTCCAGTTATGTATTCATCTTACAAACCTTTGGAAATACAGTGCCAATGGAAACCAGAATTTTTCACCTGTAGATTTTGCTTCTATTTGAAATTGTTGG